CAAAATGCAGATTCGTTGTCACCCTTGAGAACTAAGATGGAATGCTTCGTTTACAGTAAAAAGGGCGTTGTAAGAATATCCACACTACGCCATATCGTCCCGTGGGAGTCGTAAGAGGCAACAGAGGTAAACAAGCCACGAGATGCGAAGCAGCATCTTCCTAATAACAACTCAAAGTTATAAAAACTGCAGTAGCCAATCCGCCCGCCAAGCGTGGCCATTATGCCAGAGGCCTACGATCTTTGGGGAAGACCTATAAGAGGACATTAGTCCCCCACGATGAATTTCGGTCTCGGCGGCCAGTCTCGCACAGGTGCACTCTCTATTGGTCCGATAGGAGTGGGGCGGTAATCCCATACGACTATAGATATCAGCATAGAATACTATATCAGCATAGAATAGCATAGAATACACAATAGAATGGCTGTCAAGCTTATTTTGTACCAAGGTTCGGCGTCGCTGGGAGCACACATACGAGCAATTACATCGTTACAGCATTACGTCGTTACAGTTAATCACTACTCCAAACCCGATTCGCTGTGTTGACAGACGGATTTTAATACATATTTATTTGTAAATAGCGTGCAGTTTGGCATTTTCTAAATAATTTGCATGGGAAATTCGGAAACGATTGTAAACTCAAAACACATCTCGTGTTGACATTTAAGAGTATAGGTGTGAATTGACGTGTTAGCGACATTTTAGTGACTACACGGGCTCCGCCCACTCCCCCGTTCTATTATGTATGTATTATAGTAGTCTATGATAACAACAGCCTATATTCCTAATTAATTTTATTAATGGCATCAATTAATCAGACACAGAATTAACAGCTTTACTTACTTTCCGAGGCGCGGGGGTGAGACACCGCCAACTTTCCGACTCCTGGCTGCTACTGAGAATTTCTTGACAGATAAACTCCATAGCTGATTTTGGTCAGACTCGGGATTTAAACCCAGGACCTCATGATCAGTAACCGTATTTACGAGCGCTAGACCAACGAGGCAGTCAGTTTGACGCTATATTCTAATATCTAGTGCAGAGTTGATAGCTTCCCATTTTTCGAAAGTTGGTGAAAAATTCAACAGGACATCATCTACTGGTAAAGTAATAAAACACGATAAATGTTAAAATTTTTATTTTGACTAGTCTTGAATTAATTCAATAAAATTAAAAATAAATGTAACAAAAAAGAAGAATGTGTGAAATGAAATTATATTAGCGTAAATACTTGAATTGTCTAAAACATAAGTACTATAACTTGTGGATTTTGGCTGTATATATACAATATATTAACTTAGGATTAACTATACATTTGAAAAGTAATGCTATAAAAACAATTTTTATTTTCAAAAGTAGAGCACACAAACTGTATGATGCTTTTTAAAAACATCTGTAAATATGTGTGAGAAAATTTAATCTGTAAGAAACTTTCTTGTAACGACCAGCATTACTGATAAAAAAAGAACAATGAAAATAGATATAATAAGAAACAATGAAAATATGATATAATATATTATAATAATATGACAGTATTGTTATAAGAATATTGGAATTACTTGCAAAGGTTGTTGGTTGAATGCAAAGTATTTTAATAAACTTTTTATGTCGCTGTTACTGCCAATTAAGCTTCTTATCACATCCATATTTTTACTGTTTTTCATTGTACAAAAATGTCAATTATCATATAATCCAATTTCATTTGTAAGTATCACATTTAAATAATATATGCAGCCCACAAAAAGTGAAATGAACAATAATAATAACTAATAAAGTAAAACTGTATAATGGTAATAAATGTTTTTCTTGTGCACATGAACTAAAATTTCTTAATGTACTTAACTAACACAATCTTCGTTGGGAGGGATTGTTGAATAGCGAACACAAGCCGCATAGCTCACTGATTATGACGAACCCAATTAAACAGGTACTGATGCTGTATTCAGTGTATATCCCTAAAAAGACTTACTCATATAATGTCGTCGGCAGATTGTATGATTTCTCATTATACAAACGGCGTCATCTTTTTGTAAAAGCTCGCTGGTTTGTTATATGTAGAAGGCAAATTGGTAGGTATGTCGTCGTCAGATCATAAAAATGGAGAGATCATGATGTATCTCGTCATTTCATGATACGTCGTAATTTTATGATTTGGGCCATGATTTATCCGGCATAGTATTTTATATAATATATAAATGTACGCGGCTTAACCCATTGTCGCTTATATTATTGAATAGGTGCTTTCGTATTTATAATATATTAAGAGAAATTAAAGTTATAAATTACCGGCCAAATATGGCGAAGTATCTTGAAATGCCCAGGCAGAGTACGATCTTCCTAACTTTAACGATCGGACTACGACAAAGCCTTTTATAAAATGACGAGCCATTTTACAATTTGCTTTCGACATTTCACAAGCCAGCAATCAGACGATGCGACGCCATTAGTATATTGACGAATCATACGATCTGCCGACGTCACATACATTAAATTCAGGGCTGCCACATGCAAAAATTAAAAAGTGAAATCTAAAATTAATTTCAAAAAGTTCTTTAGCTATCTTGCCAACATAAAAAATAATTATCGTATATAAAATCTAGTGTCCAGACAAATAAAGTGGATTACAAAAATTTCTTTATTTTGAATGTTGGCAGGACGGCAACCCGAATCGCTACTGCAGGTAAAAACCGTGTACAGTGAACAACACTTAAATTTATATTATACTGCATAGAAAAATACACTCTTAAAAGATATTATAATACAAAAATAAGTTGCTTGTTGCTATCAAGTGACTACTAAGGCCATTCTCGAGAATCTACACAAAATACACAAATGTCAGTGTTTATAACAATGTTTCATATATTATTTCTTTACACAAGCTTTCGTTACCGTGTTATATGGCTTACATTATTGCTAACATTACAAATACTCTCCTGTGCTTTTATCACAAGCAATACTAATTAGCATTCGGTAATATTCCAAAAGCCATTTTATATTTTAAAGAAACAAAGAAGCGTCAAGTTAGTTACAAAAGTTTCACTGGAAAAGAAAACTTATTTACAATTTGTTTTCATTTCACATATTAAAATGACATACAATACATACAGGTCTAAATCTGCAAACATTACTTTCTATGTGTCTCGCTCAGTTTCCCTCTTTCCCTCTCTTTCTTTTTCATACAAGGTTATTTTGCAATACAGGGCCAAGTTTGGATAGAAAGTTAAGAATAAGTATAGGTGATGGTGAAAAAAATTAATAAAAAATCTTAATCATTCTGTCCTTTTTATCTTTTTTCAGAATGCGTGGCGTCGTTATTTTAATTAAATGTCATTCATCATTTACACATTCGTAAGGGTGCGCTCTGTCGGCAAAAACGTGGTGAATTGAATCGCACGCAGAGGAGTGCGCGTACGCGTTTTTGCCCATAAATTACATTCAATTTGGGATAATTTCAAATAAAAGTAGAAGCCTTCTTTACTCATATTTTCAAAAACTGTAATAACGATATATCATTATTTATATATTTGAACTTAAATATAGTCTGGCTATTCTTTGAAAAATAATCCTGTATAAAAATAAGGTTATGGTCGGGCAAAAGGAACACACAATTACATACAGGCGGCAAAACTATTCGACAGTCGACGAGATATTATACAGTGAGGTATTCACACAGTCCATCTGATGGTAGGCGGATGCTGTTGCCAGTAGATACCTACGTCTATTCTAGATTTAGGATCAAACAGGTTTTAGTTTTAGGCTGTTGTAATAATTTACAGTAAATAACACATAAATAATTTCTATGCTATTAACCTATGTTAAATGCGGCTGTCAAATTCGTAATTACAAACTATTAGCACAAGTTGTTTATTAAGCACTATATTATGGGGTAAAAAAAAATAATATTACGATTATTATTCCACCAGCTGGCTCGACAGACGTTATTTCGCCCTTTCTGCTTGGTGGCACAATGAGTGACATTTTCACACACACACACCCACAATTTTCTATCGAGTTTAAATAAAACTAAATTTACGGATTTTATCGCCTTTAATTAAAAACTTTTACTTATTTATAATTCCCGACGTTTGGGGTGTTTTACAGCACCCATGGTCACGGGGGGGGGACTGAGATGTTTGACGTCTCAATGTCATAGTTAGCCCGGCTACCTTCAGTTATTTTAATATTATTTTTTTTTTGGACCGAAAAATTAAAAAAATTAAAAAAAAAGTAAAATTCGAAAAAAAAAAAGAAAAAAGCCAACTATGACATTAGTACGTCAAACATCTCAGTCCCCCCCCCCCCGTGACCATGAGTGCTGTAAAGCACCCGAAACGTCGGGAATTAAAAATAAGCAAAAGTAGTTAATTAATCGCGATAAAATCCGTAAATTTAGTTTTATTCAATGTGTAGTGTTCGCGTAAATTTAAGAAATCATTCTATCGACTTATTTATTATTATATGTATAGTTAAATTATCTTTATGTCTAATATAAGCATCAGCAACCGTTATGACCATATACTTCAAAAAGGAAAACATAACCTTTCTTTTTTTATTTTCCCGAAAACGGATAAAACGTTGCCTATATTACGTTATACGAACTATTTACTGCCAGCACATCAAATTTCATGGCAATCTGTCCAGTAGTGTTTGCATTAATCGTGAACACACAATTTTTTTTCAGATTTATTATATGTAGTAGATTTAGGAGGGAACCAAATTAAAATAACTTGAATTTTCGCGTGGCAAGTGAATGGACATTAACTTTTATTGGGTATTTAATTTATCTGAAAACGGATTACACATAATATGTACAATATTCTAAATTTTAAGTCTCTAGTTCATCGGGAGGTTAAATCAATTACGAATTCGACCCGATCAGACACACAAGAAACCCAGTGAATAAAAACGTGGTAAAATCCGCGTGTATATTTGACACAGCTGTTATGATGTGTGTGTCAGTGTGAGTGCAGCGTGAGGCGCCGCATGATGTCTCGGAACACTCAGCTGCGCGGCTGCTGGTGTTGCTGCTGGTGTAGGTTGTGCTGGTGCTGCTGCTGGTGTAGGTTGTGCTGGTGCTGCTGCAGGTAGCGCGCGCGCGCGGCGGCCAGCAGGTGTCGCTTGCGGCGCTGCAGCGCAGCCTCGCGCTCCGCCGCACTGCTGCAGAACTGCACCCCCCCCCTCTCCCCCATCCTGCAACACACACACACACAAACCCCGCTCTCATATTCCCACTTACACACCACAGAGTACAATAGCCAGTGGAGAACTATACACGCTATTTGGAAACAAGAAAACGATTTTTTTTATATAATAAGAATGAGAAACGAGCACACTATCTACCTGATGATAATTGGATGCTGTGACCCAAAAACATCTCCATTTATCCCATATTAATAATCTGATTGTATTTGCGACATCTCCGAAGACTAAGGTAGAAATTCCTCATTCCCCCTAAAATAATCTCCAGTCCTCTACATTTACCATACTAAACACGGTAACATTAAGCTGCTTTGTCACACTGATGTTATGTGAGAATGTGGTCTTCCCCCAATCGAGCCGACCCATTCGTACTGCCATAATACAACTGCAACGTGGCTTTACCACAAACGTATTAAAAATAATCCCACACCAAGCAGGTTTTATTGTACGAACTACAGTTGTTCCCCGCTACTTCGTCCACGTGGAATTTAGTACGGCTGGATTTCTAGAGTTTTAATTTTTACGCAAAACCCTAGGTATTATTCTAAAATAAAAGTGGCCAAAGTTACTCCTTATAACATCAGCTATCTGCCAGTGAAAGTTCCGTCAAAATCAATCCAGCCATTTCGGAGATTAGCGATAACAGACAGACAATTTTCTTTAAATTCGTTTTTTGTTACAAATACAGTATATACTTTCATATGCATTTAGTAGAAAGATGTTATTTTGACATTACAAACAGACATTTCATTTTTATTTATTTGTATAATAAAAAAATTAATACGATAGATCTCAGATTGGAAGATATCTGAAAGTTCTTGAGGCTAAGTAATTTTTGCAATTCTTCGGATTTGTCAGATTTTATAAAATTTGTACTATGAATTATTACAAAACATGGCTTGTTTTTTAGTCTTTTCTCACATTGCTCGCTCCGTATCGTCGTCGTGCGATAGAGAGAGTTGCTAATGTTGGAATTAATTGCATTCAGTATACCTTAATTTAAGGTCTGTACGTTTTTCTTTTTTAGTAATTCAGTTTAGTTTAATTAAAAAAATAAAAAAGCTCAAGGAAGTTTTGAAGTAAAAAAATATAGATATTTAGACGCTAATAACTTATATCGTACGCAATATTTCCTTAAATTAAAATTGTACAGAACTTGTTTTTCATTATATCTACATTTTCAAAAATTATAAAAATTAGACTATGTTTACCGGAGAAAACGTTATCGCTTTTTGTATGAAAAATTACAGCTTCACAATCCTCTTAAGAAAAGTCCTTCAAATAAAAAAAGAGTTGCTTATCCAAAGAATTCTAAGTATAATACTAGACAGTCTGCGGCTTTAATACACTGCGCACTAAGTTACGGTCGATTCTCCGTAACTTATTTAGTCGACTGCGAGCGGGCGAGAGAAGACTAGTTCTTTATTTTCGACAATCTAATATTGAATTTGTTTAATAAGGCTAAGGGAACGCAGTAATTTTTATTTACGCACTAAATCAACGTGATTGGAAGTTTGTTTCAGATACTTATGTAGCTTTATTTCGTATTTTTGACTTTATTTCTACGTCGCAGAGCCATGCTGCAGTTATATTAGTAGTATAGTCGTAGCACGAATGGGTCAACTCTACCGGGGAAGGACCACGCTCTAACAGAATACCAGCGTGAAATAGTAGCTTAATGTTGCTGTGTTTCGTATGCTGACTGTAGAGAACCGGAGACCCTTTTTGCTGGAAACGAAGCATTCCATCTTAGTCCTCAAGGGTGACAACGCATCTGCATTTTGAATCGCATACGAGGATAGATGTAGATGTCTATGGGCCACAGCAAACACTTACCATTAGGTGGACTGTGTGCCCGTTTGTCACCCCCATCCTATAAAAAAATTGCCTAAAAACTAGAGATGGGTCGAATATTCGTTTCATACTTGGTATTCGGCATATGCGTTAGCTTTACCGAATATTTTTATTCGGCCGAATATTCGGCTAAATCACCGAACAATCGTTAAAGTGGTAATCAAAGTATTCACTGTATTGAAATGTACGAATTGAGTAATGCCGTGTCTTCAATCATTTTACTATTGAAAGTATATATTTACGAGGGTGGCACTGAAAATTTCGGGAATCAAGGAAGTGACACAACATTACTATTTAAAAATGTATTTATTGCTTTTCGAAGTATTCTCCGCGAAATTAGACACATTTTTCCATACGATGGAACCAATCATTGAAGCAACCATTCCATTCGGAAGTTGGGGTCTCCAAAATGGCCGTTTTGTAGGCGTCCACAGCTTCTTCAGGTGATGAAAATCTCTGTCCACGCAATTTATTCTTTATTATAGGGAAAGTATAGAAATTATTAGAGCTTAGGTCGGGGCTGTACGGCGGATGGTCTAATAATTCTATGTTTTCTTACTCTAAAAACTCTTTTGTTCTGTGTGCGGTGTGAGAACTCGCATTGTCGTGATGGAGGATGATGCGGCGGTTGCAGTTCTCTTTACGGAGTTCAGAAACGACCTGTGGCAAACAAATGCTAGCATAACATTCTGGATTAACCGTTCTTTGTCCCTCAATAGGAATAGTCGTAACATGGCCGGTTTTGGAGACGAACGTGGCCACCATTTTTTTTGCAACACTCCGTGAACGAACAATTTTTGTTGGCTTTAACTCATTTTCGCACATCCAAACTCGTGACTGGTTTTTTGTTTCGGGTTCGTACGCGTATATCCAGGATTCGTCATCTGATACGATGTTGTATACAGCATTTGAGGATCCTGCGTGGAATCTTTCGAGAGTTCTGACGCACCAAGTAACGCGAGCCGCTTTTTGCTCTTCACAGAGCGAATGCGGTATCCTTCGGGAAAACAACTTATTTACACCTAATTGTTCATGCAAGATTATTTGTATTTGACTCATGCCAATGTCTAAAGTTGCCTTAATTTCGCGGTATGTCACATGTCGATCTTCCTCAATCAGCTTACGCACAGCATCAACGTTTTCTTGGGTGACTGCAGTTTTTGGACGACCTTGACGGGGATCATCACTGAGCTTGACACGTCCACGTTGAAATTCAGCAAACCAGCGATAAATTGTGGTTTTGGATGGGGCTTCATCACCAAATGCAGAAATCATCCGGTCAATACACTGTTTTTGTGTTAAACCACTTCGAAAGTCATAATAAATCATCGCTCTTGAATTTTCTCGAGTCAATTCCATTTTCTCAACGACTAAACAAGTTTGACAAAACCTTGTGACAAGACCGAGAATCTTTTTTTTAAATAAATAAATAGTATTCGATTTTTAACACCAAGGAGTTTTCAATTAAAAAGATTTTAATATGACTGGAACAGTGGAAATGTTCCATTCCCGATACTTTTAGTGCAGCCCTCGTATTTATGGGTTAAATCTATTTGTATAGCGTTATGTTTTTGGGGTACTGTAGATTTATTTCCAATAATAGCAAATAGAAAGCTTGATAACATGTTTTTGGAATCGATCAAAGAAACATTACATTACATTAGTACATTTCACTTTACTTTCGTCGTCAGTTTCTCTAAAATAAGTTTCCCCCGAATTTTTTGCCACAGTGGTGACCACCCGACGTGATCTGAACACGAAACCAACAATCTTCGGAAACTTGAAGCTTCATTATCGTCATAGAATACCCCAGCCATTCGCTCCCGAGCAGATATCGTCTGCAGTCTACATATCCTGCAAGCCATCTAGCTTCACAAGGTCCATCGCAGCACTGGAATAATAATGCTTCCTGTTCCTTCAAGCTACTCTCTGCGCTATACAGTGTTCGGCACGGCTCTGAGCCTCACTGCTCGCCTCTGCTTCACGGCACTCTCGCAGATTACTTGCCTTCTTCTCAACTCACCGCAGACTACAAGGCAATCTCCTGGGGTTTGTACATTCGTCGGCAACGAGGCTGCACTATCGACCTCCGGTCTGAGCAAGGGGGTGTAGTGGCAGCGCTGTCGTCGCGCCACAAGCGAAACACACCGAAGCCTAAATCACGCTATCAAAATTCCGAATCATAAACGGTATATATAGAACATCTCCGAATTATCCTATCACACGGAGCGTTGGCCGCTCTCCGGGCTGAATACCTTACCCGGTAGGAGAACTCCCCTTTTCCTTCCACGACCACAATATAATTATGTGTACCTGTCATCATTTCGCACAATATTATATGTGTACAATAACATGTCAGGTGTCACGGAGGAGCGGGGGCAGGGCCGGCGATAATCCAGCGCCCTTTACGGTAACAACTTTCTACATAAATTCGTTAGGTACTGACACAGATTGAGGGGGGTAATCTGTGGGTACCGAAGTGATCCTGCCGAAAGTGTTCGACCGAATATTCGGTTCGGTAAAAGTTTTACCGAACTTTCAGCCGAATATTCGTATGCGGTGAAATCCATATTCGGCCTATCTTTACTAAAAAACAGTAATTGTCGTAAATGAAAATACAACTGCGTGGAATATTTACCGGGGCAGCTGTCCAACTGCGCGATCCTCAGGTGTGACAGGGTTTTTGTACTGAATTGCAGATCTAATATACACAGAAGTCTCTACTATAGATAGAAGTCTTTGCTCTTATACATAGGCGACACAGTTTTCGCTTAATTTGCTGTTTAAATTCCATACATAAAATTTTAGTTTGAACTGGTTTCGTGAAACAGATTTTACAAACCACTTTTGATAATAAAGTCGATTGAGAACATAACGGCAATGTTTAGCTTTGTATAATACACTTTGCAAATTGTAGTGCAAACTTTGTATGCAGCTGCCAATTAATTAATATGTAACTGATATATTCGTATTCGTTAAGATATTAGTAATATTAGTTGGATTCACAAATCAGTAATCCAACGGATTCTGATATGCTAATATTCCATATTCACTTAATTTAAATACACTGACCGTTCAACATCGGTTGGTAACATCTCTCGACTCGACTCTGCTGCTGATATTCGTGTCGGATATCT